AGATCGACAGACCACCAAAATTGGATCATGATCAGACCATGGAACCGTAAGAATAGAGACAGAGCAAACCAAAGGGAGATGTTTACGTGATACAAAAGCATGATCAATTCTGGAATGAGAATGATGAGGGTGAGAATAATAAGTATAGTCTTTCCCCCGGGGATGAAATTCACGCCATAGATCTACCAGGTCATGGGTACTTAACATACGTACAAAGGATTTAGCTGATGCGGAAGGGTCAGGATGCTCTGCTGGATATTTATCTAGTGCGGGATTTAACACCAAATTGGAGTACCCTGCCATCAAGAGAGTACCCCGTTAGTGTATAGCCACGAGGGAACAGAGGTGTGACAGAAAAGGTCCAGGATTAACATTGGGAGCATAGTAGGACATTATGGTAACTTCTATACCTTGGATCGTGTCCTGAAGCAGAAGGTATCTACCATTGGGATCAGCAATACGCTTCACACAGGCAAACAGAGTTTTGCTATGGAAGGCAACTAGCACTCCTCTCTGTTTAGTGGGCCAGTAGCCTGAAATACCTGAGGGTAGCGTGCATCAAAATATTTTGGGGCAGAAGTAGTTGAGAAATGAGTTTCTTGCAGACAAGCAATGTCAACTTGACAACCCCGAAGAAACTTAAATATCTATACCCGTTTCTGCAGAGAGTTTATCCCCTGAACATTCAGAGATAACCTGTCAGGAATGGACTCGGCACTGGTGGTGGGACTCACCTGCCGTGTGGGCTGCAGTACCAGAGCTGACCAGCGGGTGCTCTCAGCAGCCAGAAGCTCACACGTGCAATCAGCCAAACCTGGGGCTGATTGCAGAAAGGTGTATTTAAGGCATGACTAGGCCTGTGCTCTGGGCCTTGGTGTATGTTTTCCCATGAGCCTCTGTACCTGGTATCTTGTGTTCCTGCTTCGTTGCTGACCCGGCTTGATCCTGACCTCTGCTGACCGTCTCCTGTTGAACCCCTGGCTTGCCTGACCATCCTTCTGCCTGATTCCCTGTACCGTGCTGCCCATGAGTTACTGAACCCGGCTTGTGACCTTGACCATTTTCGGCCTGCTCCTTTGGTACCTTGCTGCCCGCACGTTGCTGACTTGGCCCGTCTGACCACGCTAACTACTCTGCCATCCATCCATCCTGCACGGATCCAGCCGTACCTGCACATACCTCTGGCGGATCCCTCTACCACTAGCAGGTGTACTCGGGGGCCGCGACCTGGTTCCTGTCTGCTCCAAGTCCATCCCCACCATCAGGGGCCCTGGTGAATAAGCAGACTGGGACTTAGACTCCGCGCCCTGGGGAATCCTGTCCTGGGGACCACTAGAGGTACCACCAAACGGTCATTACAGAACCCTACGGCCGGCCTGACCGTTCCACCTCTCCAGCCCTGACTACGCCTGTGTTCCTGCACCTACTAAGATTAGTGGAAGGTTGGTTTGTTCACTGTGCGTTTATATATATATCTGGGTGGCTAATAATAAACTGTATTATTATACTATACCTGAAACCTGCGTTTCCCTGTGTCAGTCCACACCTTTCTGGTCATTCCTAGATTCCTGACATAACAAGTTCAATGACATAGTGATCGGAAAGAAAAAAGATCAGATTCTCCGTGATCCCTGGGAGCCCTGAAAAAAAATTTACAAAAACACAAAACACACATGACGAGACAAAGAAAAGGAGGTGGAGAAGAGAGAAGAAAACAAGAAGACAACTGATATACAAGCAATATATCTGTGAAACAATAAGATTAATACAAACATCGTAATAATCAACTGTGGGTAAAATACCCACATAGAGGCTGGGTAGTGGGCGGGGCAAATAACCAGACCACTAGCCAGCTCAGAGGGGGACACGATAATACACCAGGACAACTCGACATTAATAAAAAAAAAACCAGAACATTATTATGCAAACACCTTAGGCTAATACACCTGTGAGTGAGTGGTCAACAGGAAACTTGCAAGACAATGAAAATCTCAACCAATCAGAGTGGAGAAAGAAAGGGAAGAAAAAAAAAAAGGGGGGGGGGAGCCTGAGATCCACTCTGGCTTGGAAGAGATAAATCACATGAAGATTATGAGCCCCCTGGACCTGCGGATGTTGTAGCCTTCCCATTCGGGGAGTGGGACAAATCCAGGTTCAAAACCAGAAAGTGGCGGCAAAGATCCACATGTGATAAAGCTGTATACTGACGGCCAGCCACTAAATAACAAGTCGCGGAGACTTCCTGAAAACACTGGGCCTGTAGAGATCGAAGGGCCTGAGAGCTACTCTGGCTTGGAGAAGATTTACGCGAAGACTGGGAATTCCGAGGGCGTGTAGAGACCGTAAGCCTCCTCACTCTGGGAGTGTGGCAACTCCAAATTAAGCTCCTGAAAGTGACGGCAAAGGTCCGCTGGTGAAGAAGCCTGGAATTGACAACCTTGGAAGGAGAATGAGAAGCCCCATCTGTACTTGATATTAGCTGATTGAAGAATTTAGAGATAGGGTCTCAAAGTACGACGTTTGGCAATCGTAGCTGGGGACAAATCCGCAAACAGATGGATTGAATGTCCCTGAAATTCCAAAACCGGACGGTTCCGAGCCGCCAGTAACAGACGCTCTTTAGTGCGGTAAAAGTGTAATTTAATAATAATGTCCCTGGGAGGACCCTCTGTGAGCTTAGGGGCTAAAGCTCTATGGATACGGTCAAACTCCAAATGCTCCAGGGGAATCTCAGGAGCCAACTCCTGGAAAAAGAGCTGTAGCAGTACCCTGTAGGTCGGTGATTACTTCGGGGACTCCACGGATGCGAAGATTATCTCTGCGGGCTCAATTCTGAGCATCTTCCAATTTATCTTTTAAAGTGTCCAACTCAGCACGCAAATCCTCCACCTCCTGTTCATGACCCTCCAAGACTGTAGTCACCAGATCCATAAGTTGTTCCAATTGATGAGCGTGAAGGCCCAATTCTTTTAAGCCTCTCACCAGATCAGAAGATAATTTACGGGAGGCGACTGTAATCTCCTCTCGCACTATAGCACGGAATTTGTGTAGTAAGGCTTCAGGATTTTGTTCAAGAGGGTCGGCCATCCCCGATGGGAATTGCCGCTGACTATCGCCATCCGACTGAGGTTCTCCCGAAAGCTGAGTGTTGTCATCAGGTTCAGGAGGGCTAGGTGTTAGCTTAGTGACGTGGCCCTGCGGAGGGGATTGCTGTTGGGCCCTGTCAGGAATGGACTGGCCAGCAATAGTGGGACTCAGCTGCCTTATGAGCTGCAGTACCAGGGCTGGCCAGCGGGTGCTCCCAGCAATCAGAGACTCAACCTTGCAGCCAGTCAAACACCTGGAACTAATTATACTGGTGTATTTAAGGGACATTCAGACCTGCAGACTCTGCCTTGGTGTTGTGTTTCTCTTGGGCCCTGTATCCTGTTCCTGCTCTCTGTTCCTGTCTGATTCTCTGCTGACCCTGCTCTGATCCCTGGCTTGTCTAACCATTCTCCTCTGCCTGACCCTCTGTACCACGCTGCCCGCTACCTGCTGAACCTGGCCTGTGACCCCGACCATTCTCCGCTTGCTCCCCCTGTACCTACCTGCCCGACTAATATTGACCCGGCCTGCCTGACAACGCTTGCATTGTATGTACTGTTATCTGTGGGTGGTTGGTTGGTTTGTTTGCACTGTTATGTTTTAGTATTGCACTGCGTTTATGTTTGTATGGTTAGTGTTAATAAATTACATTGTTTATAACATATCTGAAGCCTGCGTTTCCCTGCGTCAGTCACACACCTCTGGTCATACCCGGGAGCCCTGACAGGCCCGATGTTTAGGTTTGGTACGTGGAGTGCGATGCATTGTTAGGATAAGTCCAGAGGGTCCCAAATCGCCTTCAATCTAATGGGGTAATACACTAGGGTGTAGAAGCCCAATTGTTGAGATAAAGATTCCGGTGGCACGGCACAGGGAGATCACTTAGTCATCTTCCCCTGGCGCGTGTACGTGTCCCCCCACCGGGGATGTGTTCACATAAGATCAATTATTATAATACAGCCAGTGTAATGCGGGTGGCTATGGTGACTAGGCCAGGTATACCTTTATTGTGGAGGCTAGCCAAGAGGTTCCCCTAATTCATCTTCCTGGGAAGGAGGCTGAAAGATGGGGCTTCTCCCCCCATCCAGGACCACCTCCTCACCAAGTTGGGTCTCCAGTGCCTTGCTGGGATTTTGTAGGGGCTTAGTGTGGCCCTCGGGACTGACAAAAGAGCCAGGGGGACCCACTCAGACCGTCCCAGTATCTGACCTGTTTGTAAGGTCTGTAGGGCAGAGCGGCAGCCTATCATCCCAGCCATGGCGGCGATCCGTCCCAGCCGTGGAATCAGGAAAGACTGCAGCTTCACACGCCATGGTAGGCCGCAGGCGGTCCGGCGCCATGGATGGTTGGAGGGGGGGCAAAATCGCCCAGCACCCCTCTTCAGGTGTCAGGCGGGGTCCGGAGATCCTCAGATCCGCAGTGGGTGGCTGCTAACTCCGGGATGGCAGTGGATGGAAATGTAGGGCGCCGGAGCTCAGAAAGAAGCGTCTGCTCCCGGCGCCATCTTGGACACACACTACTTTTTTTTTTTTGTTTGTTTGTTTATAGCGCAAAAACTAAAAATCGCAGAGGTGATCAAATACCACCAAAAGAAAGCTGTATTTGTATGAAAAGATTACATAAATTTCATTTGGGTACAGCATTGCAGGACAGAGCAATTACCAGTTGAAATGGCACAGTCCCAAACAGGAAAAAAATAGCTTGGTCAGGAAGGCGGGTAAATCCTCTGGAGGGCAAGTGGTTAAAGGACCAAAGCTTGCAATCTTCTTTTTTTTTTCTTTAGTTTACATTTTAGGATATTGGCTTCATGTTGACCTACATTTATGTGTCTTACTCTTTATCTTCTTGGTTCTGGAAAACCTGGTGTGGTGTGTGTTTTTTTTTTTTAACTAGTTAACATGTTATTTTTTCAGGGATATGGATGTTACTCTATACACTGGACTTCCACCTGGCAAATACTGTGACATCATTTCTGGCCAAAAAGAAGATAACTGTTGCACGGGTAAACACATCAGTGTAAGCAACACTGGCTTTGCCAATTTCATAATTAAAGGTTCAGCTGAAGATCCCTTTGTTGCCATCCACATCAATGCCATGTTATAACAATGCTTTTTACCTCTAATAAACAAACTACAACTAACTTCATAAAGTATGTTTTTTGTTTTGTTTTTTTTCTTCCTCCTTATTGTTCATGGTTAAATGTTTTTGTAAAAACATAAATTTTTTGGCATCACATAAGTTATTCTTTATAGTTTTTTTTTTTTTCTATTCAGAGCTTGTAGTTTTTGGTTTATATTGGATCCCTTTGTTTAGTCAGGAGTTCCATTACAAGAATAGTGTAAGGAGTTGTAGGAGGGAACGTCTCAGCCACAAGCATCCACTGTGGTTCCATACTGTAGTACGGATTGAAGAAAGGGTATTAATATCTTGGAGTAGTTCTAGCAAAGGTGTAGAAACCACTCCGTAAACAAAAGAAATGTCCAAGTCTGTTGATTGTGTGTCTTTGTGCTCTGTAGTAAGTGTGTGTGTATGTATGTAGAGTGGGGCAAAAAAAGTATTTAGTCAGCCACCAATTGTGCAAGTTCTCCCACTTAAAAAGATGAGAGAGGCCTGTAATTGGCATCATAGGTAGACCTCAACTATGAGAGACAAAATGAGAAACAAAATCCAGACAATCACATTGGCTGATTTGGAAAGAATTTATTTGCAAATTATGGTGGAAAATAAGTATTTGGTGAATATCAAAAGTTCATCTCAATACTTTGTTATATATCCTTTCTTGGCAATGACAGAGGTCAAACGTTTCCTGTAAGTCTTCACAAGGCTGGCATACACTGTTGCTGGTATGTTGGCCCATTCCTCCATGCAGATCTCCTCTAGAGCAGTGATGTTTTGGGGCTGTCGCTGGGCAATACAGACTTTCAACTCCCTCCAAAGGTTTTCTATGGGGTTGAGATCTGGAGACTGGCTAGGCCACTCCAGGACCTTGAAATGCTTCTTATGAAGCCACTCCTTCGTTGCCCCGGGCGGTATGTTTTGGATCATTGTCATGTTGGAAGACCCAGCCACGTTTCATCTTCAATGCCCTTGCTGATGGAAGGAGGTTTGCCCTCAAAATCTCACAATACATGGCCCCATTCATTCTGTCCTGTACATGGATCAGTCGTCCTGGTCCCTTTGTGGAGAAACAGCCCCAAAGCATGATGTTGCCACCCCCATGCTTCACAGTAGGTATGGTGTTCTTTGGATGCAACTCAGAATTCTCTCTCCTCCAAACACGACGAGTTGTGTTTCTACCAAACAGTTCTATATTGGTTTCACCTGACCATATGACATTCTCCCAATCCTCTTCTGGATCATCCAAATGCTCTCTAGCAAACTTCAGACGGGCCCGGACATGTACTGGCTTAAGCAGGGGGACACGTCTGGCACTGCAGGATCTGAGTCACCGGTGGCATAGTGTGTAACTGATGGTAGCCTTTGTTACGTTGGTCCCAGCTCTCTGCAGGTCATTCACTAGGTCCCCCCATGTGGTCCTGGGATTTTTGCTCACCGTTCTTGTGATCATTTTGACCCCACGGGCCTCTCTCATCTTTTGAAGTAGGAGAACTTGCACAATTGGTGGCTGACTAAATACTTTTTTGCCCCACTGTAGATAGATAGATAGATATTTTTTTTTTATTCATCAGCTCTTGAAGATGTCATTTCTCCCATCACAAAGCCCCCCCTAGGAGCAAACTTTTGAGAATTGGTCTTGTAGTGTTTAAAATAATAACTTTCAGTTTTCTATATCTGGGAGGCAGTCAAGAAGCAAAGTATATTACTGAGCTGATTGGTCAGAGCAGACTTTGTTAACTGCGGCTCTGTAAATTATTTTTCTGGTTTTAATACAATCCAAGATTTTAATAAGATATTGTAGGGATCTGCCACCTTCTCTATCTACTGAAAAGTCTGATTCCACATGACCTGTCTGTGCAAACGCTGTTGCTGATTCCAGGCCAGAGGGTAGGGTTAAGCAAGTGCTGCTATGCTTATTAGTTTGTTAATGTTGCTCATAGACTGGTGACAGAAGTATATCTGTTACCTTGATATAATCTCACATGCACTATACCAGATAGGTGTGTGTGTGTTACAGTGCTAATAGGTGAACCTGTTTATTGTAAGAGTTTATGCCCTTGTTTTAGTTAACTCTGTCCCTTCTGCTTTGGAATTTGTATAGCTACTAGTTTAGCTTAGGGCTCAATATCCAGCATAAGCTAGAGCCAGGTTAGGCATCCAACAGCCATTTGGTAGTTGGAGGTCCAGTTGTATAGCAAATTAGTAGCTTCTGGGGAGTAAGCAGAGTAGATAGGCTGACTCCCCAGCATGGCCAATCTTGTCTTCAGGTCTGCAGCACCAAGTCTGATGCCACATCATGATCATCCTCAGGAGCCCCTGCAACTCAACTTGCAGCAACATTCATCTGGACATATCTCTATTAACTAAGTATAACTGGGTATATGTTTACAATTCCACCAGGACTCCTAATGGGTTCTTTGCTGATAATACCTATTTGTACAGTGGATGTATGTACTGTTATTAAAGGCTGAAGGTTTTTTACATTCATCCTTCATGCATCCTATGCATGAAGATAAACCTTCTGTGTGCTGCTCTTCCCCCCCACAGTCCCCTTAATATCCGCCTTAGCCCTCTCTCAGTCCATTGATGTGAGTGTGTGGGCACCTCGGCTTTCCTGGGTCTCTCTATCCTCATTAGCTGAGACACAGCAACGGGAGCCATTGGCTCCTACTGCTGTTATTCACAGCAACTGAGTCAGTGAGGAGAGAGTGGGGGCGGGGCCAAGCCTTCAATCTATGTCTTATGGACTCATAGAGTGGGGCTTGGAAGCGAACACGCACCAGTGCCCCCATAGCAAGTGGCTTGCTACTGGGGACACTGTTCAAGGGGGAGGAGCCAGGAGCACTGGCAGGGGACCCAAGAAGAGGATTGTGGTTACTCTGTGCAAAACCATTATGCAGATAGGGAATGCGCCTCCAGCTAAACCCCACACACACTAGTGGGTTGTCAGCCCAGTCCGCATGCTGTATACTGTGAGACAAGTTCCGGACAGCTGCACTTCTGAAAATCCACTTTATTCCAAATGAAAAAAAATCAAATGAAAGGTGGTTAACAGATGGAGCAGGGGAAAAAAAAGGTAGATGCTTTTCACGCTAATGCCAGAGCTTAGTCATTACCCCAATGACTAACCGCTGGCAATAGCATGAAACGTATCTACCTGATTGTCTCCTACTCCATTTACTAGCCACCTGCTATTTCAGCTTTTCATTTTGAATAAAGTGGATTTCAGAAGTGCAGTCGTCTTGAACCTCTTATCTCACAAGGTATGTATGACATGTTCATTTTAATCTTTTATTATTTTAAGCTTATGTTATTTCCATACTGGTGTGCATCTTTGGTTTTATGGTTAATATATATATATATATATATATATATATATATATATATATATGCTGGCTGCAGTAGTCCATCTGCTCCCAGTTACTTTGATTAGATTACTGGTTAATTTCCCAGGAAGGGAACTCCCTCTGCTCACAGGCCTTGTGCTGGGTGAAGGCACTGCCAACTTTACCACTCTTTTTTGGTTCCTTTTTATTTCCCTACAGATTTGCATTGGTCATTGTTGATACTTACATTTATTGTACAGGGGACATTGATGGATAGTGTAAATGCCCCTGTTACATTCATGGTCCATGCAAATGCCTTAATTGTGTTGGATGCTAGGAAGCTGGAGGCTACCTGGGAACTAGCAATCAATGACATTTAGCCGCAATTTTACTTTTAATATGATACAAGATGATTATACTTGATCTGATGTGTATGCATAAACCATTTCAAAACCAACCTTAATCAAGTGAATGAGCAGTAGTGTGTGTATATATTACTCACACTGTAGTGCCTACACGCACACGAAGGTGGGGCTCCCAGTCTCTGCTCTAATTCAGCCCAAAGGTGTTCTATCAGGTGGAGGTCAGTCAAGATCCTCCATTCCAAACACGCTATTCCATGTATTTATGGACTGTACTTTGTGCACTGGTGAACAATCCCGTTGAAACAGGAAGGGGCTGTCTCTAAACTGTTCCCAAAAAGTTGGGAGCATGAAATTGTCCAAAATGTCTTGGTATGCTGACACCTTAAGAGTTCCCTTGACTGGAACTAAGGGGCAAAGCCCAACCCCACAGCAAAATCTCCCCCCCCCCACCAAACTTTACCCTTGGCACAATGCAGTCAGAAAGTACCATTCTCCTGGCAACTGCCAAAGTCCATCAGATTGCCAGACAGAGGTGTGATTTGTCACTCCAGAGAACACGTCTTCACTGCTCTAGAGTCCAGTGGCCGCATGCTTTACACCACTGCATCCAACGTTTTGCATTGCACTTGGTGATATAAGGCTTGGATGCAGCTGCTTGGCCATGGAAACGCATTCCATGAAGCTCTCTATGCACTGTTGTGCTAATCTGAAGACCACAAGAAGTTTGGAGGTCTTTATTTATTGACTCTGCAGACAGTTGGCGACTTCTGTGCACTTCAGCATGCGCTGACCCCACTTTGTAATTTTACGTGGCCTACCACTTCGTAGCTGAGTTGCTGTTGTTTCGAGTTGCTTACACTTTGTTATAATACCACTAACAGTTGACTGTGGAATATTTAGTAGCAAAGAAATTTCATGGATGGACTTATTGCACAGGTGGCAATCTATCACTGTACCATGGTTGAATTCACTAAGCTCTTGAGAGCGACCCATTCTTTCACAAATGTTTGTAGATGCCTTTTGCATGCCTAGGTGCTTAATTTTATACACCTGTGACCATGGTGATTGGAACACCTGAATCCAATGATTTGGAGCGGTGTCCCAATCCTTATAGCAATATAGTGTGTATATACAGTGCTCAGCATAAATGAGTACACCCCAACAGATTTGTCAAAAAACATTTACTTTCAGAATCAATATTTTCTATGGGACACTATACTACATAATACTCCCACAAGTGTGGGCCATTGATTGCAATTAAGATTTGTTAATTTGCACACACAAATTTTTTTTCCTAACAAATTCATTCAAGACCATGTTGTAAGGGAACTCCCGTGAGATGGCTGGTGAATAGATAGATGTGCGCATGTGCACAGAGAAATGCACGATCACTCACGTGCACACGCATGTTGAAGATTGGTGCCAGACAGACTATTTAAGAGGTGCCTCTGCCTGAGCTGAGTGCTGACTGGTCTTCAGCTGTTCCCTGCTCGTTCCTGTGTGATTTCCTTGTTGCTGACCCGGCTTGTTCCTGACCTGACTCTAATTACTCTCCAGCTTGATACTGGTTCCTGACTTTGGCTTGTTTATGATTTGGTACCTCGCTGTCCGCCCGTTGATGACCCCGGCTATTCCTATGACATTGCTCCTGTCTCCCATCCCAGCTTCCTGCCTTGCTCTGGTGCACACCTGGCGACCCACCATACCAGCGCTGCATAATACTACTGTTCCTGAATCGGAGGTTCATTAGTCTTCCAAAGTCTCCAACTACAAGAGCTGCAAACAACATCTGCTGGCGCTCTTGTCCCCCTGGTCCCTAGACACCCTCTGTTCCACTTCCATTGGGGTCAGGGCTAGTGACACAAGTGAGGCCGACCTCATCATTTCAGTCTCCAATCAGGTATGTGACATGTTGCAAAAATGAATACTCCCCTATGAAAGTCTTTGGAGCAAAGCTAAATTTTAGGCAACAAAATCCTTATTAACAACTACAGGTGAGTCTAATTATTCATTAACCACTAGCCTACAGGGCACTTATACCCCCTTCCTGCCCAGGCCAATTTCCAGCTTTCAGTGCTGTCACACTTTGAATGACAATTACGTGGTCATGCAACACTGTACCCATATGACATTTTTATCATTTGTTTTGTGACGGATAGAGCTTTATTTTGGTGGTATGTAATCACCTCCTGGGTTTTTTTATTTTTTCTTAAACAAACCAAAAACCACTGAAAATTTTGAAACAAAAACATTTTTTTCTTAGTTTTTGTTATAAAATTTTGTAAATAAGTGATTTTTCTCCTTCGCTGATGTGCGCTAATGAGGCTGCAGTGATGGGCACTGATAGGTGGCACTGATGGGCATTGACAGGCATCACTGATGGGCACTGATAGGTGGCACTGACTGGCACTGATAGGTGGCACTGACTGGCACTGATAGGCAGCACTGATGCACACTGATAGGCAGCACTGACTGGCACTGATAGGTGGCACTGATGGGTGACACTGAAAGGCAGCTCAGATGGACACGATATGTGGCATTGATGTGTACTGGTAGGCACTGGCAGGTGTCATGGATGAGCACTGAGAGCTGGCACTGATGGACTTTGACAGGTGGCACTGCTGGGGCTACACAGATCATAAGGGCACACTGATCATCAGTGTTCTGATGATCTGTGTACATGTTCCCTCTGAGGAATGCCGATTACTGGCTCTTCTCTCCTCTGTCAGCGTGACAGCTCGTGAGGAGAGATACCCGGCATTTCCCTGTTTTTACAAGCGATCAGCTGTGATTGGACACAGCTGATCACATGACCGAGCCAACATCTTTGGCTCTTTCTGTGGATCGGTGATCCGCTGTGTCCGAGGGACACAGCATACCACCGATCGCTGCGCACTCCCGGAGCTGCGCATGCGCGGTGAGAATGGGAGGACGTCATATGACGTCCTCCCAGAACGAGAGAACCACCTTGCGCCTATCATTGGACTATATGGCGGGCGGGAGGTGGTTAAACAGGTGTCCAGCAGACAGCTGATTAAAAAAGGGTATTACTCAACAAAGAAAACACCTTCCAATTTCATGCTGTTGGCAATGGCACTACATGGAAGAGAAATGTCACCAGGCCTGAGAAAAAAAATAATTTCTTTACACAAGAAAGGAGAAGGCTATAAGAAGATCAGCAAAGCTTTACTTATCAGTCAGAACACTATAGCGAAAGGAGTGTCTTCTGATGAGAAGGCTTTAAGAAAGTCACCATAAAGGTTCACTGCAGTTAGCTAAAGAACTAGAAAGCCAAACTGGGGTCATTGTTTCCCTTGACACAATACAGTGTACACTGCAGAGGAATGGCATGCATGGGTGTTGTCCACAAAGGAAACCTCTCCAAAAGCCCATGCACAAAAAAGAACAGATGGCTTCAAAACTGTATGACATTGCAAAGGTGAGGAGTACAAAGAATAATGCATTGTGCCTACAGTGAAACATGGGGGTGGCAGTGTCCTTCTGTGGGGCTGCATGAATGCTGCTGGTGTCAGGGAGCTGCATTTCATTGATGGTATCATGAATTTACAGATGTATCACTCTATATTGAAAGTGAAGATGCTACCATTACTCCATGCCCTTGGTCATCATGCACTTTTCCAACATGACAATGATCCAAAGCACCAATCTAAGGCCACTGTTGCATTTCTGAAGTAGAACAGGGTGAAAGTGATTCAATGGCCAAGTATGTCTCCTGATCTGAACCCAGTCAAACACCTATTGGGAATTCTGAAGAGACAAGTTGAGCATCACTCTCCATCCAGCATCCAGGCTCTAAAAGAGGTCGTTCTTGAAGAAAGGAAAAAGATAGATGTTGCAATATGTCACCAACTTGTTCATGTCTAGAAGACTTGGTGCTGTCCTTTCAAATCATGAAGGTCATACAAATTACTAGTAGTAGTTTTTTGTTGTGTGGTGTATTCATTTTTACATCAACTAATTTGAGAAAAACTGAAGATTTTGTAATCCAAGTTATATTATTAACCTTACTTTCATGTAATGAGCTAAACAAATGTTCTATAAAACTCAATTTTGTCAAAAATTTTGTAAATCGTTCTTGTGTTGTGTTCATTGATATATTGATTAAAATCTTACTTTTCAAAAGGGGTGTACTCATGCTGATCACTGTGTGTGTGTACTGTATATACTATACCTATGTTAAAATAGTAATATTAATTTGTTTACATTCAGTGGTGAAACTATAGGCAAAGCAGCCAATATGACTGCTATTGGGCCTGGGGGGTGGGAGGGGCCCCATTATTGAGGCTGTTGAAGCAAAGTCTGCAGTCTAGAAAAATTTAGGTTTGTTGATAGTCACAGATTCCCATTGATTTCTATGTGTAGTTTAAAGAATTTGTTCAGATACCTTGACAGTGTATATTTCTTGCCCTCAGAGTTTTTACTACATCTAATCCACTCTGAAATGAGTCCCTGCCTAATGCAGTCTTCCTGAGGCTTTAGAAAAAGTATTTTTTACAGAACAGCTTCTACATGGATCAATATAAAGCCTTGGCTTAATGTGACTAAGTTCATCTACTGTTAATGCTTTAACTTTGTCAACACAGATAACGGTTTAAACTTAAAATTAGGTTTGGATCAATATGAAACCGTTAATGATTAAAACATCACATAATATTGCCGGTGTTACCAAGAACAGTTGTCATAGATCTTGTAGGTTTTTTTTTTCCTGTTTGCTGTTAGCTTTATATTTTTAATAGGCATTTAGTAGATACAGTTGAAACACCTATATTGATGTCAGTTCATGATAAATGTGTATATGTTTGGAACATATTGCCTAAAACAGTAAAAACTTGACATTTCAGTACTAAGAGTTCACAGAGAAAAACTAGCCTTAAGATGTAAAAATTCAATGACCACTGTGCAACATGGACTGGATGATTATGGCGGTGCGGCCTTCTTCAGATTGGGGAAACTTGACCTGTACAAACAACAAAACCAAAAGGGTGCAAACGCCTCGCGCATTATTTACACTGTGTGCACAATTATTAGGTAATTGAGTGTTTTGACCAAATAATATTTTTGCACTGTCCAACTCTAAGCTATATAAACTTGAATGCTTATTGGATTTAAGCCTAAGGAGATTAACACCCTATATCAAGGTGTGCATAATTATTAGGCAGCTTCTTTTTTTCAGGCAAAAATGGGCCAAAAAAGATTTAACTGACTCCGAAAAGTCAAACATTGCAAAAAGTCTTTCAGAAGGATGCAGCACACTTAAAATTGCTGCGATATTGGGCCGTGAACACAGAACCATCAAACATTTTGTTGCAAATAGTCAACAGGGTCGCAAGAAACATGTTGAGGAAAAAAAAAAACGCAAATTAACTGCTAAAGTTTTGAGAAGAATCAAATGTGAAGCTATCAGGGACCCATTATACTCAAGTGCTGTCATATTCCAGAACTGCAACCTACCTGGAATGCCCTGAAGTGTAAGGTGTTCAGTGCTCAGAGACATGGCCAAGGTAAGGAATTCTGAAATCTGACCACCAGTGAACAAGACACATAAGTTGAAATGCCAAGACTGCGCCAAGAAATATCTGAAGACAGATTTTTCAAAGGTTTTATAGACTGATGAGATGAGAATGACTCTTGATGGACCAGATGGATGAGCCTGTGGCTGGATTAGTAACAGGTACAGAGCTCCACTTTGACTCAAACGCCAGCAAGGGTATGGTATGGGCTGGTATTATTAAAGATGAGCTTGTTGGACCTTTTCGGGTTGAGTATGGACTCAAAATCAACTCCCAAACCTACTGCCAGTTTCTCCTTGCGTCTTCCAGGACAGCCCCTTGCGACGTAGAGCTCCTCCCTCCGGATCAGGAAACACGCCACCCCCCACGCCTTTATAAGGTGGATCTCCAGGCCTCCATTCCCAGTTTTCAGTGTTTCCTGATCCAGAAGGAACACGTTTGGAACCTAGGGGGTCTCTGCACTCTCTAGGGGTGGTCCTGGAAGAGTGTGGGCCGGGGGTTCACTTACCTCCTCTCCCGGCACAATACCTCCACAGTGAGTGGAGCTGAGGCGGCGCGTGGAAGCCTTCATCCTCAGGTGAGGGACCGGCGGTGGCAGTGGTCACTTGCAGGGGAGCGGGGGGGTGTCCGGCAGTGAGTTTGGGCATCCACTCCCTCTAAGGCCTGGCAACTTCTCTCCCCCATGCGTGGCAGTACAGGCGTGCAGAGCGCTGGGCGGAAGGGAACAGGCGAGACTTCCGGGGGGCGGGGCCTTTGCGGTCCACAGGCCAGAAGTCTGATGCGACTTTGGGTGGACAAGGCCCTGCGTTCCAGCAGGGCACTGCGCTCCACGGACCGTAAGTTAGGGTAACATCCGGTGGAAGAGGCCCTGCGTTCCACAGACTGGAAGTCCGGGGCAGTGACATCATCGGCGGGCGCCAGAGACATTGGGTTCTAGTCTCCAGAAGAAAAGAAGGTGCAGGCTTCCACTTGGGGGCTCGGTAAGGCGTGAAGACCAGCAGAGACTGTGGACCACACCAGACGGAACACCATGGAAGCTGGCTCATCGCAGCAGGCGGATCCTGGTTCCGGCACCGGCTCCTCTCAGGTAGGCTTGGGGAGGGTCCCCTTTAGCTGACTCCTGGGAGAGTGGTTGGTTGTTCCCCCAGTTTCTGTGGGCAGGTGATGGTGGGGCATGCTGCAGGTTTCCCCTAGCACAGGGTGTGTAGTGGGATTTTGGAGCTGAGGGTCCATATTGTTCTTCTATCTTTTTGTCTTTAGGTTAAGACCCAGGACAGGACCCCGGTTCAGGCCCCAAAGAAAAAATGTGCAGTGTGTGCGGCTAAGTTGGGGTCTGCGTGTGAGAAACCCCTGTGCCATGGCTGTATAGATAGATTAGTCAAGGATGAATCCTACATGGCCTGCCACAAAGTGTAATCCTCTAATAGGGATGAAATGACGGCGACATTTCAGTCCTTTAGGTCCCTGTTTGACAGAATGCAGCCTCCACTGGGGCATGGGGCGCAGTCGGCTGCAGCAGTAGGGGCAGCCAGGCAGGAAGACTCAGAGGAGGAGGACCCTCGGGTCCCATCCCTCCAACCAGGCGGGTTCTGGTTCGGAGGCCAATAACGAGGAAGAGGGTACCACTTCCAGAAGCTCTAGATATAAGTTGGCCCTAGAGGATGTGGAGGATCTCCTAAAAGCTATTTATGAGACCTTGGAGATTGAGGAGGAGGAAGTGTGCTTATACAAGTATGACCTCATGTACCAGGGGCTTCATGCTAAAAAGAGAAGAGTTTCCCAGTCCATAGTTCTTTGATTGACACTATTAAGCAGGAATGGGAAAATCCGGAAAGGAAACCCTTCTTTTCGGGGGCTCTGAAAAGAAGATTTCTGTTTGAGAATGCATCTCAGCCTTGGAACAAGGTTCCAAGATTGGACTCTCCCTTATCCAGGGTTTCTAAAAGGATGGATCTAGCCTTTGAGGACATGGGGGCTTTAAAGGACCCCATGGATAAAAGAGATGAGGTCCTGCTATGTAGGGCATGGGAGTCTTCTTCGGTTAGCCTTAAACCAGCCCTATCAGCTACCTGTGTGGCCAGGAATCTAGAATGCTGGCTTACGCAGTTACAGAACCATCTGGCGGCAGGAACTTCAAGGCAGCAGATTTTAAAATCTCTGCCTTTACTTTTTAAAGCAGCTGATTTTCTGGCAGATGCCTCGGGGGAATCTGTTAAGCTAGTTGCAAGATC